ACGCTTGCGGGGGATTGTTCATGTGTCCGAATGGGAAGTGCTGTGTGAGCGGTTTGAAATTCGGTGCAACGGTTTCGGGAATTCTCGCGGCCCGAAATGTGTCCCCCCTCCCCAGGGGGGGTCCCCCCCTTTTCGCCGTAATGCTAAAACAAAAACTCGCGAATATCTCCGAAACGGTTCGATAGAATTGCGCAAATTTTGGTGTGTGTGAAGGGCTCCCTATTCTTTCCTACAAACCCTCCAAATTTCGTGGTCCTAGCTTCAATAGTTTTTTTATGGCGAATTTTTGAAGGTTTAAAGAATAGGCCAAAAATCGAACGGAAATTCCCCGCAGAAACTCCCTTCGCGAATTTTAAAAATCCGAGATAGCCAAAATGTTGCTCTCGAAGAGTAGATCAATTTTAAAAAAAAAAGTTTCTCTCTAGGCCCAATAGGACCCGACTTTCATAGGGTCAAAGTTCACGAATTTGACACATTTCGGCCGCGAGAATTCCCTGTAACCGTTGCACCGAATTTCAAACCGCTCACACAGCACTTCCCATTCGGACACATGAACAATCCCCCGCAAGCGTTTTCTCGTAGCTCAATTTTTGACCCCGGCGCAAGCGACCGAAATTTCGATGGGGTCACCGAAATGGTGACTGAAATGGGCCAAACTTTGACCCCCGATATCTCGGGCCCTAATTGTCCGATCGACTTGAAATTTGAAACGTGGCCTAACAGGGTTTCGGCCTTCCTCCCCATGCCCCGCAGTCGCCCCTCACCAGGGGGGGTCCCCCCCTTTTCGCCGTAATGCTAAAAGAAAAAACTCGCGAATATCTCCGAAACGGTTCGATAGAATTGCGCAAATTTTGGTGTGAAAGGGCTCCCTATTCTTTCCTACAAACCCTCCAAATTTCGTGGTCCTAGCTTCAATAGTTTTTTTATGGCGAATTTTTGAAGGTTTAAAGAATAGGCCAAAAATCGAACGGAAATTCCCCGCAGAAACTCCCTTCGCGAATTTTAAAAATCCGAGATAGCCAAAATGTTGCTCTCGAAGAGTAGATCAATTTTAAAAAAAAAAGTTTCTCTCTAGGCCCAATAGGACCCGACTTTCATAGGGTCAAAGTTCACGAATTTGACACATTTCGGCCGCGAGAATTCCCTGTAACCGTTGCACCGAATTTCAAACCGCTCACACAGCACTTCCCATTCGGACACATGAACAATCCCCCGCAAGCGCAAGCGTTTTCTCGTAGCTCAATTTTTGACCCCGGCGCAAGCGACCGAAATTTCGATGGGGTCACCGAAATGGTGACTGAAATGGGCCAAACTTTGACCCCCGATATCTCGGGCCCTAATTGTCCGATCGACTTGAAATTTGAAACGTGGCCTAACAGGGTTTCGGCCTTCCTCCCCATGCCCCGCAGTCGCCCCTCACCAGGGGGGGTCCCCCCCTTTTCGCCGTAATGCTAAAACAAAAACTCGCGAATATCTCCGAAACGGTTCGATAGAATTGCGCAAATTTTGGTGTGAAAGGGCTCCCTATTCTTTCCTACAAACCCTCCAAATTTCGTGGTCCTAGCTTCAATAGTTTTTTTATGGCGAATTTTTGAAGGTTTAAAGAATAGGCCAAAAATCGAACGGAAATTCCCCGCAGAAACTCCGTTCGCGAATTTTAAAAATCCGAGATAGCCAAAATGTTGCTCTCGAAGAGTAGATCAATTTTAAAAAAAAAAGTTTCTCTCTAGGCCCAATAGGACCCGACTTTCATAGGGTCAAAGTTCACGAATTTGACACATTTCGGCCGCGAGAATTCCCTGTAACCGTTGCACCGAATTTCAAACCGCTCACACAGCACTTCCCATTCGGACACATGAACAATCCCCCGCAAGCGTTTTCTCGTAGCTCAATTTTTGACCCCGGCGCAAGCGACCGAAATTTCGATGGGGTCACCGAAATGGTGACTGAAATGGGCCAAACTTTGACCCCCGATATCTCGGGCCCTAATTGTCCGATCGACTTGAAATTTGAAACGTGGCCTAACAGGGTTTCGGCCTTCCTCCCCATGCCCCGCAGTCGCCCCTCACCAGGGGGGGTCCCCCCCTTTTCGCCGTAATGCTAAAACAAAAACTCGCGAATATCTCCGAAACGGTTCGATAGAATTGCGCAAATTTTGGTGTGAAAGGGCTCCCTATTCTTTCCTACAAACCCTCCAAATTTCGTGGTCCTAGCTTCAATAGTTTTTTTATGGCGAATTTTTGAAGGTTTAAAGAATAGGCCAAAAATCGAACGGAAATTCCCCGCAGAAACTCCGTTCGCGAATTTTAAAAATCCGAGATAGCCAAAATGTTGCTCTCGAAGAGTAGATCAATTTTAAAAAAAAAAGTTTCTCTCTAGGCCCAATAGGACCCGACTTTCATAGGGTCAAAGTTCACGAATTTGACACATTTCGGCCGCGAGAATTCCCTGTAACCGTTGCACCGAATTTCAAACCGCTCACACAGCACTTCCCATTCGGACACATGAACAATCCCCCGCAAGCGTTTTCTCGTAGCTCAATTTTTGACCCCGGCGCAAGGGACCGAAATTTCGATGGGGTCACCGAAATGGTGACTGAAATGGGCCAAACTTGAACCGCGTTCATTTTCAAATTATGAATCGATCATAAAGAATTTTTTCAATTGCTCCTCTTCTATGAAACGAACGTTATTCAAAATTGGATGGCTCTAGGTACCATCGTTTTTATCACAATGCGAGAAACATACATACATTTATGCAGTTTGTTCATTATATTACTTATTTAAATATAATACATGGGTGTAAATATTTGGTGGCAACAGTTTGAAAAGTGAACCGACTTTTAAAGTTTTCGATGCAAACGCCAAAACGAAATTAATAGTCCTTTGGGCTAAAACAATTCTGCAAAATCTTCCCTTTGCTCCTGTAAAAAATGTGCCTTGAAGGCACCTATTTAGGCTAAAATTGCTTTTTTGCTGAATTTAAAATTTTACTGTTTACTGTGAATGAGGAATGCCCTCTGAGAATTAAAATTAGGGATATAGCCTCCGTTAAATGTCTAGAAATGATATGAACAGTTCATAGCATTGCGTTTAAGACATAATGAACCTTTGCATTAGACGTTATGAATATTCAGAAAGAAAGTTTTGCATTTTCAATGTTAAATCTCAGTGAAAGTAAAACTAAGTACTTAGTTATATATTTTATGTTGTATTTATATCGAATTAGTTAAATTCCATTCCTTTTTAAAGGATATTTTTTTCTCATCACTCATTGTTACCACTCTGTTAATATTATCAAAATAGACCGTGCCCAGCGTGATTCTAACAAGCGGCTTCTATGCAAGTGTTTTCAATTCCAAGCCACAATAAAATTCGATTTTTTTATTCAACTTCGTAAGATATTTTTACGTAATTCATGTCCAGTTGCTTCACTCATAAGTAAATATTATTTGCGTTAAAAATGTTCTGACTGCCCATGTGTCTTTCACAGAACATTAACTTGTCTGTCTCCTAATGCCATCTGATGTGTTTGTTTTTCCGTTTCTACATCTTCTCGATGCCAATCAGTAGTCATATTTTATAGCATAATGTCTAGCTGAGCAAGATAAAATAGCTGGCCAGAGAGCAGCGCCATCTATTTCACTTTATTTGGTAAAAAAATACTCGAAGTTAACTTGAAGCGAACATCGTCTGCAATAGAAATCAATTTGAATTGCGAGTTTTAAAAAGAATTGTGATATGTATTTTGAAATACATTCTTTACGTTCATTTTGCCAGAATCAATCACAACTGTAAAGAGCTGTTTGGCTTTCGCAAAAGAAGAAAAAAAAATGGTTCATGAAAATAAAACTCAGTTTTTGAAGATGATGTTCAGTACCAGAGATTTTGCAAGGTATTCGTTTTACATTACTTAGCTTTCGTGATAGTTAAAAGTTCTAATTTTCAATCTCTTAAAATAGCATCTACATTTATCAAAATATAATTATTATTAAAACACGACTGCGTAAAAAGGTACAAAAAAGTAAATACATTTATTGATAGTTTAGAAGAAAGTATTCAAGTGCTTGGACAAGACTTTTTGAAATGCATAAATATGCGTTTAACAACAGGAGTTGCGTTTGTTCCAATGAAGTGATGAATAAGTGTAAATGATTTCTGTATTCTATGAAAGAAGTTTTGATTATTATATAAATATAGTTGTGTCTGTGAAATAAGTTTAAAGGTACTTTAAATAGAGTTTTTGTGAAATTAACTTCGGATATGTTATTTTTTAATAAATCACTACAGAAAGAATTTTAGTTGAAATATTTTAAACAGAATGATAAAGGGAAACTAATTTCTTTTTAGTGATAAAGAACAAAATTATCTTATCCGTTTAGAAATAGGTCAAGTATGACCAATTTACACAAATTAAACTGCAAAGTGAAATTATAATGGTGCCTTGATTGAGATCGTTTTTTTTTTATTATTATTTAATTCAAAGTGAGTATCAAGATTGTAAGGAACTGGTAACCATTCCAATAAAATATAAATTTATGCATCTAAGTGTGAGCAGAAAAAAGACAGGGAAAACAACAACTTTCTAGCGGGGAACAAAATATAACGAATTGGGTTCGAATCCAAAGCAAAATGTTTCATTTTATGAACGAAATCTTTAGCAATAATTATCTAATTCCTTGGCGACAATTGCAAGATACTTCCAAAGCAGTTTCAATTTCGGTAGACATAACATTAATAATTTCCAAGAAGTTAATGTATGTAAGCATTCTTAAAAGTCCAAGTAACATCCTGAAGACAGTCGTAGAAGATATCTGAAGTACATTTTGTGAATACTATAAATAGCCATTTTGTTAAGTACGATAGGATACAATGAGCGTAAAGCACGGATCGCGCCAAACGACTCGTATTGGCAGAAAACTCGTCTAGAAGAACTTCCGATATCAGAAGACAAAATCTTTGGCTTTTTGGCCAAGAAGTTTTCAGCAAATCTTCCCTTAGTGGCATCAGTCAGATTGCGGAATCGAGAACTTGGGCTCGTAGAATACTTTGGATTCTTCTGTTTGTGTCCTGCATTTTGGGTTTCTTCTACCACGCTACGACATATTTCGCGTTATATGCTGCATATCCGACTACAGTGGATGTCAGAGTTGAGAATAAAGGATTGCTAGAATTCCCGGGTATTACTCTATGCAATAATAATAGGTAAGTCTAAGTGCTTTCGTCTCCAGACATTCTATTACTTGTTATATCTTCTTCTATTGATTGTTTTTTTTTTTTTTTTTTTGTACATCGTGTCTGTAAACATCTTCATGTGCAATATCTTTTCGCAAACTTTGCTCCTAAATGTAAAATTCCAGTTACGAAAATACTTTTAAATGATATGAACATTCGAGTTTCGACATTTGTTAAATAGAAAAAAAAAATCTGTTTGTGAAAATTACGAAAGCTAATTTACGAATTATCTTTCGTAAATAGGCGTAATTTACAAAAAAAAAAAAAAAAAAAAAAAAAACAAAAAAAAAAAAATTACGAAGTAAATTATAGTTATATCTAATAAAAATGTATATTTATTCTAAATAGCAAAATGAAAATATACCGACTTATTTAATTTCAAAGTTTGGAATTTTTGTCGTCATTTTTAGCTTTTCTTCAAAGATTGGTTAAAAAATTAATTAGAATTATTCGAGTTAGATGTTTTCTCTTTAATGACATTTAGTGTTATTTTTTTGTTATTAATTAGTGTGTAACAGGGATTCCCAAACTTTCTTGTATCGAAATTTTTTAAATGAATTTTTTTCCCCTCATTAAACTTCTTTACATTTTTCTTTATTATAATGCATACCAGTGGTTTTCAAACTTTGTTGTCTTACGGAGCTTTTAGAACTGTAAGGTTTTTTGACAAACCTTAAACCACAAGTAGAAAGATATATCTTAAAGTAAAATTAAACGTATATCAATGTGTTATAGATATTTTATGTAGAGACAGTTAATGAAAAGTATTGTATTTTTTATTGGAAAAAATGAATATAAAGTTAATATATTTTAATCGTTAATAGCATAAACTTCAGGTGTTAATAGCATAACCTTAGCATTATATTTAGTGACGTGTGTGTTTGCAGTTTTAGCCCAAATGGCGTTAGCCCAAAAGAGCTGTTAATCTCGTTTTGCCATTTTGCGTCGAAAACATTAAATGTCCGTTTCGCTTTTCTAATTGTTGCCACTCAATATTATCGCCCTGTCTTATATTTTAAGTAATTGAGAATCTGCATAAATAATTGTATATTTCTCGCATTGTGATGAAACGACGGTACCTAGAGCCATCCAAATTTGAATAACTTAATCGTCGACCGAACATGGAAATAAAGAAGCCCTAATTTGGAATTTGTTTTATTATCGAGTTCATATTTTGTAACACTTTAATGAATTTCAAAGCAAGCAATGGCAACCCTGTATGCGAAAAAAAAAATTATCTCCAAGCGCGCGAGACTGTGTATCGGAAATTCTAAAGATATGCTCTTTTAAATATTTTGCGATGTTACTGTTGAAATGAATTTCATGGTTTAAATGCGAAGAACATGATATTTAATAAATAAAAGTAAAACACACAAACGTTAAAAAAAATGCCGTTTGGGCGTAATGTAAAATCTGGCAGCTTTCAGAATTTTTTTTTAACTCTAAACTATCGAATTCTGTAGTTCTGTTGATATTATCTGCAGTCGCATTGCATATTCTACATTTAATTTGTTCTGTAATTTATTTTTGTTGCCACCAATGTTGAGAAATATTTTTCTCTTGACTAAATAGCTCGGAATGATATGAAAATGCTTACAACTGTGTGACAAAATTTTTGTTTCTTCTGTATGAATCTGTAACCAAAAACTTTAGGAGCTGCTCTTGCTTAAATTTAGATTTTGTCTTCAAATCTTTTATGTCAATAAGTAATTTTCTTTACTTCACGGCCTACTAGCGGCCGAGCGGTAAAGTCGCTGAACACTGGTAGTTCGCCCCGAAGCTCGAATGCCGGCGAAAGGACTGGCTGCATGGCCGTTTTTGTTCTTTTCCTAATGTGTAAACGCCCACCAGCGGCCGAGCGGTAACGTCGCTGAACACTGGTAGTTCGGGTCCGAGGTTCGAATCCCGTGAACGGGCTGGCTGCATGGGCGTTTTCGTGGTTTTCCTCATGTGTAACGTGTATACGAGCCAGTTTCCCTTAAAAAGTCCTCCACGAAGGCATCCCTCCCTTAAGGCAGATAGCCCTGAGTGCTTTGCCGTAATCTAATAAACCAAACCAAAACCAAAACCTAATGTGTAAACGTATATACGGGTCAGTTTTCTTAGAAAGTCCTCCACGAAGGCATCCCTCCCCTTAGGCATATAGCCCTCGAGAGCTTTGCCGCAATTAAACAAACAAAGCCCTTTCCTTCATTGGCAAGCCTTCTGATTTATCGAAGTACTCGGAACAAATTTTTATCCAGTCGAAATAACTTTTTTCCCCTCGGAAATATTCTTTTATAGTTTTCTTCAAGTCAAAAAGGTGCTCTATTGTATAATTTTTAACACTGTTGTCTAAATGTTGTAAAACTGCACATCTCACATTGTAAACCTGTTTAGTTTTGCAAAGCATTGAACGTGATTGTTTTTGACGTATGTCATATGTCGAATTTTTAATTTGACTCGTGGGAACTCCTGGGTTTTGAAGGGTAGAGTAGACTTTAAGGTACAACTTGCATCATGACGAAGTTGTTTGATTTATCGCCAAGTTGTTGTTTCATTTATGGTAGCCTGTGTAGTTGAATGTTACGGAAACCCTATTGTGACGTAATCGGGTACATGATTCTGGGAAATTTTGAATCATGGGATGTTTTGTAAGCGTTTTTGTGGTGTGTGTTAAAACCGTTTAGATGGGTTTGTAGGAAGAAAGGTTCAGGTGGTCACTATGTGAAGCGTTCGATCAGAAAGAGTACCTGGTTTGAAAAACGTCATTTGGTTATGATTGATATTTTGATTTGTACGTGGCTCTGGGTGTACGAAGCGAACTCGAAAATCATGGTAAGTGAATAATTGCTTTTGGTAGTGCTTAAATGTATAACATGTTTTTCCTTTTTTATGTTATTTTATTGTTTGGTTTAAATGTATTTTATTGAGATTACGTATTTGTTTGTTTGCCTATATTGTAGACTTTGGTGCTCCTTTGACTTTTAAGGTGAAAATATATTGATGTGTACATGGACAAAGTAAAGGGAGTGCGCAATGCAAGTTTGTGCAATTCTGGGATTTTTTTTTAAGTGAAAATAGGTCGACGTGTACATGGATAATGTCAAAGGAGTGCGCAACGCCATTTTTGTGCAATTCGGGGGTTTTTTTTAAGTGAAAATAAGTCGATGTGTACATAGATACCGAGTTTTTGCAATTGTTTGTCTTGTTATTTTGGCTTTGTGTAGGGGCGATATTTGGCGCAAAAATCGCCGCTTCGCAAGCCAAAATAACGTGACAAAGAATTGTACAGAACCGATATCCATGTACCGCCAAAAATCGCCAAGTTTCGTCAAGGGGTACCCTAAACTATACTTTTACCGGTTTGGCTTACGGAACATAGTTTAGAGACCACCAATATACACTATACAACACAATTATAATAGAAATAATTGCTCATAAATAACTTAAATATAAAAATTAGATAAAGAATATGAAAAAGATGCTTTGGAAAAAAAAATAAATTAGATGCATATTTGACTTTATTATTCTTATTTTAATTTCATAAATATAAACAAGCTTTTATGCAAAAATTACAGATTCTGATTGCGAAAGTTTCGATTTTGATTAATATAATGGTAGTGCTTGATACAATTTTTTAAATAGTTGGCATAAAACTACATAATTTAATTTTTAAATCGACTCGTTCAAAAATCTATGGAACTCGCCGAGCGGTAAAGTCGTTGAACACTGGTAGTTCGGTCCGAGGTTCAAGTCCCACAAACGGGTCTCCTGTGTAACGTGTATACGTGCCAGTTTTCCTTAGAAAGGCCTCAGAGAAACTATCCCTCCGTAATCGTCAAAAACAAAACAAAAATCTATAATCTGTTTCTTGTTTTCTGTACACTTAAACCTGTTTTTGTGCTATTTTTAGTCCAAAGGGGAATTTGCCCCGAAGGACTATTATTTTTCCTTTTGGCATTTTACTTTGAAAACTGTATCAATTTTCAAATTGTTGCCATCAAATATTATAGCTCTGTATTATATTTAAAGAAATTAAATAATGAATAATCTGTATAAATGCATGTATGTTTCTCGCATGGTGGTACTTAGAACCATCCAATTTTGAATGATGTAATCCTGCTGCGGATATGGGCACCTGGAAGCCGAAATTTAAAATTTGGAATTTTTATTGTGGATTTCATGTTTTGTAAAACTATGAATTTTTGAGTAGCAAAACTTCAGGATCTCAAAGCGAGCCATGGCAACGTTGTACAGGAAAAACATTTTTATTTCCACCGCGCGAGACTGTGTATTGGAAGTTTTAAAGATATGCTCAATTTAAAATGATTTTGCGATACTGCTGTTGAACTGAATTTTATGGTTTAAGTGCGAAGAACATGATATTTAATAAATAAAGTTAATACAAAATGTTAAAAAATGTAAACGCCCCTTTGGACGTAATTTTTGGACGTAAAATTTGAAACTTTTCTGATTTTCTTCCCCCCCCCTTTTTTTTTGTATGGTATATGAAAATTTGAATCAAATTGGAACATAATTGACGGAGTTGTCAATAAAAAAGACAAAATAATCAATAAAAAAAAAGGGGGGGCTACAGTCTTCTGTATTTGGCTGGCGAGACACACAACGTCTACTGAAACAACAGTCGTCGCAAAAACTGGTCACCGACTACATGGTAACTGAACAAAAGTCAACTCTAAACGACTCTGACTATTTTTACAGCTAAGTCGTAAAGTTTTGTGCGTTTTTTTTTTTTTTTTTTTTTTTTTTTTTTTTTTTTTTTTTTTTATGCGGTGCCTATTCACCACATAAAAACAGGTTTAAGTGTTTATTGAATATTGTGAAGCCTTCTTCTACTAGGTAAGAAGAGACAAAAGTCGACTACATTGTTTGGTAATAAATTTTACTTTGGGATATTTCTCTCTAGGATAAATTTTAAATTGCAAAACTTAGCATTTTGAATAAGATTTACGCTCGAACTTCTTCCT